CACGAGATCCAGCTGGAGAAGACGTACGACGACGTCGACATAACAAAGTTTGAGACCATCAGGAGACTTGTAAGCCAACATCTATCCATTTTCCAGAAAAATATATCAAAACTGTGTCCTAGATAACTAATGTCATTTTATCTCTAGCAACCCCAGTGGACGGGCCGGCGCGACGATACGGGCGTCCCCATCATGGTCTATGTCGTCGCCCAGGTCAAGCCCGAGGACATCCTGGCCCTGCACAAGATGGATCCGTCCCTGTCGAGCGTTTTCCTCGCCGCCGAGTATGTCACGCAGTTTGTGCAGCCCTTGTGCGGGAAGCTCCAGCGCCGGAGAACGACCAGGTCAATGTGAGTTTTCTCTTTCTTCTTTCTCCCTTACACAAACACACACACATGCACGGGGAGAAGAGAGAGAGAGATCTTGGTAGCAGAAAAAGAAAAAGAGGAGGGGGTTCCGTTTCAACTCGCGGCTGACCACTATTCGGTTGTTAGCAACATCATCGATCTATCTCACGTCGGGATCCCGACGTTTTGGAGGTTACGCAGACTGCTCAACGCGGCCAGCACCATGGCCACGGCCCATTACCCGGAGACGGTCAAGAGGATATATGTAAGTCCGTCATCATCAGCGTAGCCCCTTTTCAAAGGTGTAGTTTTTCCAAAGGGCCATGATAGTCATCGACCGGCATGCTGGCCCAGATGCACTAACCCTCTCTGTGAGAGAACCAGGTCGTCGGCGCCCCGCCCTTCTTCCCGCAGATCTGGAAGTTCATCACCCTGTGGTTCGAAAAGGAGACGACCCGCAAGATCTTCGTGCTCGGCCACCATGAGAGCGCCGACGTCCTGCGCCGCGACCTGGGCGCCGAGAACGTCCCCAAGCGCTTTGGCGGGGATCTGGATTGGGAGTTTGGCGCGTTTCCGAAGCTGAGGCCCGAGGACCGCGAGGTTTTTCACAGCGCCAGCGGAGACGAAAAGGACGATAGCGGCGACGGGAGCAAAACGAGCTTGTTTACAAAGTGGGTCGAAGGGCCCTTGAGGCTTCTGGAGGGCCGGGAGGGGAGGGCCAGGATTGTCGCCGTCGGGTCACGGGATGGGGTGTTGAGGAGGGAGGAGGTATAGCTATACTATAGTATCCTACAGCATAGTGATCCGAGGAGGGAAGGGATGGGGACAAAAGGTTTCGGGAAGAAGCGTGATGGATCAGATAGATTACGGGGCGTGAGAGAGCCGAGAGTCTTTTGTTGGATAAAGGGGGCCGTCCCATGTGCCCATGTTATTTCACAATCACAACGTTTTGGAAAAGGAAAACTCGGGAGGATCGGGTCAAGAGTTGTCTTTTTTCTTTCTGTGGTTTGAGAAGAGAGGGACCGTTTGGACGTATGACAAGCGAGCAAGCGAAGTCGACTCAGAGTTAGCGCAAGGAGTCCTATTCCGTCGAAGGGACATATCGTGTATGTGTTTTCCGGTATGTGTGTACAGGGTCATAGAAATAGTACATGGACAGGAGGAACCCAGACGATGTGAGAACCCAGGTTCGAACTTTTGATACATTACAGCACTTCGCTAGCCACAAAGAAGATTGCCCCTGCTCCCGTGAGCGATGTTTCTGCTGGAGTTGGTGGTCTGCATTGCGATGTGGTGGCAGCCTGATGGATGTGGCAATCCAGGTATATCGTGGAGATCGAAGAGAGGTCATGAGCATGGTCATAGATACTCCAGTCTTCTTCTCTTCTCCAAAGAAATCGGGCGTCCCATTTACACAACAGAGAATATTGTGACATGACAAAATGTATGATACACAGAGAAGCCCTTCACTGGTTGACGATACGCGTATGTTACCGTGCAACCCAAACACATATCGTGTCCATCTAATGCGCCGCATGCTTTTGAGATACTCAAGTCCCTCAATCATAACGCCGATGGGCTATGCTTCTGCAAATGATACGCAAATCGGACGCCCTGTCCTCCCCTCTTGATGTCAAATCATCATACAACGGAATCAAAATTTCCGATCCTTAGCGATGCTGTCAACTTTGTTGTTTCTCGGGCTCGGTCTCTGACGGTGGTTGCGCTTCTGGGTTGTATGGTTGTGTAGGGAATCTCTTGACCTTGGAGGGTTTCTCTTCGAGCATGCCAATCTGTGATGGAGAGGATGAGGGATTAGTTTCGAATGTTTTGGCGGGGTGAGAAATGTTTCGTGAATAGAGAAAGAGACGAGCGCATAAATAGGAGAGAGGGAGTTTCTGGAGCTTCCTCGAACAACATGCTCTTGCCTGTCATTCAAAACCTGTGCCCTCCATGTTCTTCCTCCCCGTGAGCTCAACTAACGCTATGCTAATCCGTTCGCAACTGATGTACCCCCCAAAAACGAAAGGGAACGCAACTCACCAGTCTCAGCAACTTGCCAACCGGCTCTGTCGGCTGCGCGCCAACACCAAGCCAATACCTCGTCCTCGCCGTGTCCAATTGTATATCTTTCATTTTCTTGGGCATGTATTTTTCGCCGCTCTCCAACAGCTCTGGCGTATCTGGGGTGGCCAGCGGTGCTTGCGGCATCGGGTTGTACGTCCCTAGCACCTCCATGGGCTTCTTGTCGCGTCCAGATTTCGCCTGCGCGAGGACGATGTTGTAGATTGGTTTTCGTTTGGTGCCGAAGCGGGCGAGGCGGATCCGAAGGACCATGGTGGTCGGCTTTCTCTATTCAATTCCCTAACAAGAAGGGCGTGCTGTCGGAAGGTCGATACAGATGAGATGTGGTATCTCCGGTCCTTGACGGCGGTTGGTGAGGGTGTGCGCTGACAGAGATCAGAGGTGCAACTTCGAAGAAATTCAATCGAGGAAGTTTTAGGAGATGCGCAGCTCAGCCTCGTAGCCTCGTGCGGAATTGGGCCAAGCTTCTGATTGGCGGAATCGGAGAGTGACGCCGAACAATGACGATATCTTTTGTCTGCACGAGACACCAGAGGTATTTGCCGGGGTTGCGTGACCTCGATGTAATATACTGGGTTAAATCATATCGGTCTTTGAACCCTCATTTATCAAAACACCACGTCTTATGCTCCGAACCTGCCTTCCCAGAAAGGCATTTCGACCGATTTTTACAGCGCGGCAATTCTCCAAGATGGCGCTCAAGGTGAGCCCTGACCAAGCCCGGCGTCATGTTATATTCTCTGCATATAATTCGACATGGTGGCTCCAACGGCTGCGAAGGAGATCACTAACAGTCGCTGTGCGTAGACTCTAGGTCCAGAAAAAGCGGCAGAGCTGGATAAAGAGCTCATGAGCGAGGAAGGAGGATTCAGCATTGATCAGTTGATGGAACTCGCTGGACTGAGTGTCTCACAGGCAGGTAAGCACACGACGACATGGAGTGTTGTCGGAATGCGAAAGACCATCACTGTGTAAGTGAGATCGAAACTCATCTCTTTGTCTTTGGGTCGAAAAAGTGTACAAAGTCCACCCGCCCTCAAAAGGGAAGAATATCCTCGTCGCCTGTGGACCAGGTAACAACGGTACGTCGCATCGCAACGAGTCTCTGTTCACACCGCGAGTTCCCTGTGTTAAATGTATCCCCCACATCTCTTAGGAGGAGACGGCCTCGTCTGCGCCCGCCACCTGCATCACTACGGCTACAGCCCGGAAATCTACTATCCCAAACCGACCAACGCGCCCATCTTCACCGGCTTGCAGAAGCAACTCCGCCACCTACACATTCCCTTCCTCACCACGACCGAGGCGTACAAGTCGTCTCTGGCCCAGGCCGACCTCGTCATCGACGCCCTCTTCGGGTTCTCGTTCAAACCTCCCGTCCGCGCGCCCTTCGACACCGTTCTGCAAGCCATGATCGACTCCAACAAGCCCGTCCTGAGCGTCGACATACCCTCGTCGTGGGACGTGGCGTCCGGTCCCCCCGACAAAGGACAGATTGGTCACGACTTCATGCCCGAATACCTGATCAGTCTCACGGCCGCGAAACCCAGCGTCAAGTTCTTCAAGGGCAAGAAGCATTTCATCGGTGGTCGCTTCTTGAGCAAGGATGTCGCCGCAAAGTATGGCCTCGACGTGCCGCATTATCAAGGCATCGATCAGGTCGCCGAGGTCGACGTGGACGCGCCCGTGGAAAAGTTGTGATCTCAAGCTGTCGTTGGGCTTGGTTTTGTTGGCTCGAATTGAGCGGTCGAGTACGATGTGAGGCTAGGAGGGATAAGCAGGTCAAACTAGAGTGAATAATGTGACATTTGAAAATGATCAATACCGAAATAGTATGCTGGGTAATCACAGGTTCTTTTTTACCTTGAGTTCAAAGAGTAGGCAAACACCAGTGAGAAAGAAGTTGCGACATTGTCACAAGACACATTAACTTAGGAGAAATGACTAGAATGAGATGCAAAAGAAGTCCAATGTTATTGGAACAAAACAAGAAGCTGTACCTATCTACCAACAAACGGCAAAGGGACAAGGAATCCGTGTCGCCGTATCGCTTGTTCTAACGCCACAATTCCTAAACGGCGCCTCCATGTTCATAAGCCTGTCCTATTCCAAGAATGTAAAAAGAAAATGCTCTTCAATGCGAGACAGGTCGTTTGTATGCAAGTCGTGACTGGATACATTTCGTCTCTCGTGATGCGTCCTCTACTCAGTCGGGAACACTTCCTCTCATACCTGCTGCCGCGCCTCTTGGAGGTTGTCGTCGATGCACGACTTTCTGCACGACGCCGAATGCCTCCTCTTGGACTAGACTGTCATGTCGCGACCTATTAGACAGCTCATTCAGCCCCTCCAACGCGGCAGACACTTGTCTTTTCTTTTCCTCTTCTCTGGAGGCGTGGACCTGCATAACCCCCACGCTCTTCCATTCTCCATTCCGGTTTTGCTTCAACGCGCACTGTCTCATTTAACTGCTTCGATACTGTTCAAACACTTTTTGCACACGGGCCTTTGCTGTTCCGCGACAACAGCTCAAAGTGCTGTGCCTGCATAGCCTGGGTCCATGACTGTTTATGGGAGGGCCTCCTTGATTTTGGCTTTCTGGGCAGCAGTTAATGACCTGGGGAAGTTGACCTTCACCCTGACAATGAAGTCACCTCTCTCGCCAGGTTTCTTGCTGATGGGCATGCCCAGATTAGGAAATCTCTCTTCGTGACCAGGTTGGGTGGGACCCGATCCCGAAACATTCAGTTGTTTGCCATCAATCGTGGTGACTGTCCGTTTCCAACCTGTGAGTGCCTCCTTCAAGTCTAATTCGATTGTCGTTATTAGGTTGTCGCCGTCGCGGATGAGGCTGGTGTGGGGCTTTTCAGTGACGATGAAATGCATGTCTTGTGTGCCACCCTCTTCCTGGTCCCCAACCCCGGAGAATTTGATCTTTGAGCCGGCCTTCAGACCTGGCTTAATATCCATCTCCAGGATTTTATCCTCGGTCACTCGCTGTCCTTGGGGGTTGAATGTCTTTCTCTTGATCTTCATCTTCTTGTGGGCTCCCTTGTATAGCTCCTCCAAGGTAACGGGCAAGGGCCGTTCAATGACGGAGACTTCAGGAGTCTGTGGTCTGGCATGTCGTGCAAAATTGCCCGTGCCTCGTCTACTTCCGGCCCCTCTCGCACCACCACCTAGACCACTAAACAGGTTGAAAATGTCTTCGGCGTCTTCACCACCACCGGCACCGCCCGCACCGCCAGCGCCGCCAGCACCACTTCTGGCAAACTGGGCAAATATGTCGTTAGGATCCGAAAAGCTGAAGCCTCCAGGACCACCGCCGGTTGAGAAGTGGAATGTCCGTGTACCACCGCCGCCGCCAGGCATGCCCCCAAAGCTGAACCCACCTGGCATACCACCGAAACCGCCGCCCGGCATGCCATCGGGCATCTCTGCTCCTGGAGGAGGGGCTTGACCCCCTCTCAGAAGGAACTCCAAGCCATATTGGTCGTACACCTTTCTCTTTTCTGGATCCGAAAGAATCTCATATGCTTGAGAGACCTCTTTGAACTTCTCAGCAGCATTGGGGTTGTCTTTGTTTTTATCGGGATGCCATTTCAGGGCAGCTTTCCGATATGCTTTCTTGATCTCATCCTGGGACGCCGAAGGGGAGATGGAGAGAGCATCGTAGAGTTTCGTCTCTGCTACCATGGTGAAGGCAAGAGTGTGATTGGTCGAGTATTAGTGTGTGTGATATGTTGAATGTTGTCCTCTGCTCTGAGAGAGAAGAAGGAGGGTAGGTGAGAGGGAAGAAATAAAGTCGAATGAGAGGGAATGACGAGGCTGGCAGGGCAAACAGGTTCCGGCTTGCGGGATTTAGGGCTCGTGCCTGTGGAGTCGATGGAATGATCGAGCAGAACCCAATAGAAATGGAGTTGCAGAACTTTTCTAGTACAAGCGGATGGGTATCTGGAAGGGGGAAGATCAGGGCATTGAGACCATGGGCTGATCTCAGAGCAATCTCTCCGTCGTCTGAGCAAGGTACCGAGCACTGCGGAAGAGAAAAGAACAATTCTGACAACAAGTGCAGCTCGACACGGTGATGCTGGACGAATGACGCATGGCGCGGTGCGTGGATCCAACCACAGAAGGTGCGAGAAGCTTCTATTTGCGAGGCTACGAGGCTGAAGGGACAACGAGACAGTCTCCCCGCACAAGGCTAACGGGGCACCCCTAACAACCCACTAGGCCCCTTACGGCCCCTATTAAAGGGGGCCTCAACACCTACAAGTCCAAGCACAGGCAGGCCCCATCTGAAGACACTGAGGCTCAGGTGGAAACAAGCTCAGGACCGCAGCCTCGTCTCTGTAATCTAAGACTAAGCAGGAAAATCTAACCACAACAACAACTGCGCGTGCATCGCGACGACATCCTCTCAGAGACTTTGTCTCTATTTGTACTTTGGTCCTCCAACTCTAGAGGCTAATTCAATGAAAGACGCTTCTCGTCATCTACAACAACCCTCGTTGTCATGTCCTCATACTTGATACACACCCCCAGGCCTCTAGCCAGCTATCACCGACGATCAATTCCACGTTCAACGACAACCCTGCCGCTCCGTCCCTTCGGCCCGCGTACTGGAGCCATCAGATCCCCGTATCCAATAGCCCTCTCCGTGCGCAGTGACACTGTCATGTTACCGTCGTTCTAGAAGGTGGCGAGGAAAAGAGCGTCGTGTCACACACCAGCTATGTGCTGTTCCTCCCGGGGGCTCACAAGATCAACCTGTCACTAAAGACGTTGGCGACTTCATTCTCGCCCAGTTCGATAGTTCTGGTGCCTCTATTGACCCGCCTTTATCACCGACTTCTATGAGGCTTATTGCTGTGCAGCTCTACATCGATTTACATCGAGAAACGCTCTGGCGTGGACGTCGGGGAGGACTCGTACATTTAAGCTACCTCCTCAAAAGTCACCCACAAAAGCTATCCTTGATTAGAGAGGTCTGAACCTTCCTGAACCGGTATCTGAACAATGTGAGTAATATGGGATATAAGACATTAGCCATTTCGCAAAAGAGAGCAAGGGTTTCGTCAACCTCCCCTCGCGATATCAATGCATTTCAGCTCATGCAAGGGAGGTTCCAGCCAGACTCAGAAGTTCGGGCACCAGGACTCCCCGACGGGCTTTACGAGTACAGAAAGGGCGCCACATTGCAGACGGTCTCGACTAGCCTGAATTTGGGCATTGCTACGCGCCAATAGGAGATGCTACGGCTGCTCTTGGGCTTCCGAATCGAGTCTGACTGCATCTCACCATCCCGGGCTTTGTAGTTAGCATCGAGGGGTCTCTGCGGTGAAACAACGAAAAGCAATGGGTTCTGGGCCATGAAAAGGGATCTTGAGCGATGTGGCGCTTCTCCAGAGACGCTCAATACCTTCCCCCGACACGTGGGATGGCGGTTTATCGCCAATCCGAAGGTAGGCCCCGATCTGAGCTCGATCCTTCACCAACCATTGACTTCCTGAACTAGTCGACCGTTGTCTGTTGCCGGATGTGTACTGCTAGGCACACCTCGGTAGACATTGCTCCATATTGCGAACACCTGCCATTTGTGACTATCACCCTGCTGCCTGTCTGCGGCCAACGATACCGAGGACTGGAATCCCAGTCTCGGCCCTTGTCCGATCCCATTATATAACCATCCAACCTGTCTGTTCAAACTTACCTAGCTTATTATGCCGATCTCTCGTCCTGCGCTGCGACCCTGGCACACTTCCACATTGCTATCCTCTGGTTACGCTGGTGCTTTGTGGAGCTTGTCAATCAACTCGAATCTGGCCAGATCTCGACTCACCGACTCTAGCCGCGTCTCGCCGGTTAGGACATTACTCTTGAGCTCCAGAGCGCTAGGCTCCCCAGCATGTCCACTCTATCAGTAGCCACGACTATTTGGTGATACTGGGACTGATGGCGTCCAAGAAGGCAGCTGCGGTCCGCTTCGTCGACTCTCATCCTTTCCCATCCAGCAAACGAGAACAGGAACTCCTCCGAGCTGAAGCACGTTCTCATGCTGCGACTGTGTCACACCCTACATACAAGAAAAAAGCCGCTCGGCCTCTAGAGAAGGAATCTAGTGCTGCCAATGTCGTTCCTCGTTTGCGACGATCTTCAAGTGAAGAAGTGGGCCAGCCTCTACTGACACGGCCTGTTGACACCGCAGTATGCCCTCTAGAAAGCGTTGAAACTCGACAGAGATTGGGCCAGTCGAACCAACCCTTTTCCAGGTATCGCCTTTTTGTCCGGAGCTCGGGCGGAAACTCCAATAGAGATACCAATTCCGCACGTAAGAAACGGGAGACTCAAGCCGAGCAAGGAGGGACGCAGACTGTTGCATATGCCTCCATTCCCGTCTTCAAGGGAAACACCGATCCGTTCAATGCGACGATCATACCGGTCAGTGCTCTTGAGCACATGTTGCTTCAGCAGGCGCGAGCACAGTCCATGTTGAACACCTGGCCATCCGAGATAGCCCTGCGTCATAATCACAGTGCACTCACGGCTGAATCCATGAGAAAAATGCCGGCCTTTGTCGCGGACAAAGCTTCCAGTCATGCAATCATCTCACACGCCTACTACAGCAGTGGCAGCAGGCAGAGGAACCACGGCCAACCGCATGAGCAGACGTTGGTATACGCAGAAAAGCACAAATTCCAGGCTCTCAGAGCGCTGCAAGAGTCCCTGGAGGCGCAACGGCAGACTGGAGACTCGGCGAAGTTGTGGAAAATACTCTCATCTTGCTGCTGGCTTGGGGCAGCAGAAATGCTTAGCGGAAACATTCATGCCGCAATTGTTCATTTGTCTGCGTCACAAAAGATTGTCAATTCCTTAGGAGGCTGGTCAGTCATGGGACGTATGGAGAAGGAAGTTCTGCTTGGTGCGGTGGTCAGTCTTGCTGCGGCTTTACGCTCCCGCCCTGTGATGGATATTGGCGACTTCGACCCTGGACCGTGGCGTTCACACACCTGGGTCACCGACATGGAGGATCCGCCCACTTTGCAAGAGGACCTGAAAGTTGCGTTCCCTGAATCAACCCCCTCTGAATCTTCCACCCCGACCACCATTGCCCCGGCCTTGAGGGCGATAATGGCCGACATAAGGGAACTTCTGGCCGTTGAGGAGCTGAAGTTCAGATACGCGACCTCGAAAGCGTCGGACGTAACGGAGATTTTCCGTTGGTCTTTTGCTCGCAAGACCGCAGTTCGAGCTCGTTCTCTCCACTACTGGTGCGACTTGATTGAAGCAGCCAAGAAAGATGGTAAGCCTGTAGCCACAGTCGTTGGGCCTGGCGGCCTCCCATCCCCGGTCGCATTGACTTTTGATGTCGCATTATGCCTTGCTGTGCGCTGTTTTGATCGGTGCATCTTCGAGGAGCATTACCAACCTGGTGGCGTCTTTCGCGAGAGCAAACGTTACCACACGGAAATGACCACGATCATCGAAGCCCTGCGGCCTGCGGCCGAGGATTTCTCCCTTGTCCCGGGTCAGCACACACGCGACCTGCTATGGATCTATTCGGTTGGCGCATACGTGGAGGACGTATTCATGCGGCCCGAGTTGGAGAGAAAGGAAGATCCAGTGGCGCCCCAGAGACGATTTTTCAGCACCCGGTTTAGTTATCTGGTCGCTGCAAACCTGGAATTCAACAGCTTTGAAGACGTCACGAAATTGCTGAGAGAGAATTACCTTTATTTTCCACGGCTCCAAGACGACAGTCTGAGGAAACTGGTCGAATTCTGAAGCCCGAGCACTGGCGATTTTCGCGATGCACGGTAGCCTGAGGTGGCAGCCAAGCTGTGAATTCCTGGTCCAAAATACATCGACAATTGGCGCCTCAGCTTCATCGGGTATTTGGCTCAAAATCCCTCGGATGTTTGACCGGCCATTGACCGGCGTCGAGAGTTCTCATTCCGAATAACTCGTCCCACAGGTAGCAATGGCAAACTAGGCAACCTGTTTCCCCTGAATTTGAAGATGATCACAAAGATACAAGTTTGTGTTCGACATGGACTCCGACGAGATGGACCTGGTCCGAAAATACTCTGTCTGTTTCCCCCTGGCAGAAAAAGGCGCCACCGCCACCCTGACAAAACAGGAAACACCCAAGGCCTTTGAGAGTGGGTTATGTTATTATGTCCAACGAGTGAACTACCCATTTCCCGATCAGGACGAGCGTCCCTTTGCGGCCCGCTAGTCTCCGCTAGGCCTGACTCCAAGCACGCAGACGCGATCCTCCAGGAAGGAAGATCAAGCGCAGCGCACGCAGAGTTTCTTGGGAGTCTATAGGTAATCGATTCGTTTTCGGAGCTGACGGCCAGGGAGAGATCGGGTCCTGTTACTAAGGAAGTTGAGTTTGGGAAAAGAAACAAAGAGGACAACAGGCATCTCGCAACGGCCACCCCTCCCCGCCTGGCGACGGACGTACGGATGGAGACACGGCTTGAGCCTTGAGCTTTGAACCTTGAACCTTGAACCGTAGCGGTGTACTCGGTACCTCGTACATGCCTCACTCGCCTCGATGATTAATAGCTCGGCAGGTCGGTTGGTCGGTACACCGAAAAGAGAGAATGACAGAGGAGCCAATTCCAAGATGGGAACTTGTGTGGTCTGGGAAGATTTCATGCAAAAAAAGTGCAAAGCAGGCTGAAAGAGAGTGTCAGAGTACGAGGTATACATACATACCTGGGTAGATAGATGGGTAGTAGATATTCTTTGTGTACGAGGTTCAAAACCAGCACATGCACGAGAAAGCACAGCAAGCACAGAAGATTCGAATCTTCAATCTTATCGCCAAAGATCTCGAGTTTTCTTTTCTTTACACTCCGAGAAATATTCTATCACATACCACAAAAGCCAACAAGCCCTTTTTCGCGCTCACTTAGGCAGTCCGTGTCATAGTGACCAGATAATTAGTCAGTTTGACCAGATCTCTCTAATAACTTTCCATCGTACACAGAATCGAGTGTCCGCTCAACGTGTTGGAACCCTACCTCCACCGGCCGTCGACCGTCTTCTTTCTCACCAACGGTCTCAGCGCTCCGACACCTGCAAATAACGCCACAACCGTGAGGACCAACTGGACCCTGTTGAAACCCTTTCCAAGCACGTCGAATGCCAAACTCGGCGTGATCGTGGTGTCAAAAATATCGTGACCGAAAGCAAAGACTCTGGAAGTGGATTCCAGGAGAGTTGGCGACGAGAGAACCTCTTTAATGCCCAATACCTCGCGAGAGTGCGTCAAGTAGTATTTGGGGTCAAACTCTAGGATAGGCATGTAGCGGGTGAGCCCTTCCTCTCGCTCCGTAGCATTGGGATCCCGCTCGACAGGGCGGCGGGGATCGAGAATTTCGCGGGGGATACCGACTATTGCGTTGCTGTTGGGTAGGGTTGCCAGTAGTTGGCGCGAGGCTATCCCCTGCGCGGTTTGCGAGACTGTCAGGTGTGATATCGGCTCTGCCACTGTGTATGACTGAGATATCACGTAGGGTTTGGCCGCGGCACCGTCAACTGAGAAGACGGAATAATTCGTTCGCGCTGCCAGCAGGCCCCGATCGTTCGGAGTCGAGGATTCGTACAGTTCAGAGATGACGAGTTGGTTGGAGAGGCCAGATGTCAATGGATCACGGACCGTGAACGTGTAGGCGTACCAATTCTCAGATATCACAGCGGGTTTGTCTGAATAGAGGACGCCATGGTGGGTTGCGGTATGGAGAATTGCCCCCGTCACAGCGTCGATCAAATAGACCGTCAATGCTCCGGACTGCGAGGTTGACAGCAGAAGTGCAACGTTTGGCGAAAGATACTTGTACAGAACAGATCTGTTCCCGAGCACACGGCCGATCGAGGCAACTGGATCATGCTCTGCCCGAGCCACGGCACGCACGATCTTCATCCCATCTTGTGGATTCAATGTCCATGTCTTCTCGATATTCCGGCCAACGGTCCATCCTATGGCTTTTCCGTCTGGACTTATTGTTACCACAGTATTGCCTTCCGAGACGGTTCCAGGAACGACATCTTCAGCGAAGCGAGGTACACCATCGTATCCGACTTTGATGACAGCTGGCGCAGGACTGCCGGGGATTTGAATTAGATGCGATATGGCAATGGTGCCGGGTTTATTTTCGATGAGGCTTCCGTTGTTGGTGTTCAAAACGAGCAGTGATCCTTTGGAAAGATAGACTGAAACTCTTCCGCCGCTCACCGTAATAGATTTGATCTCGGTACCTTCAGGGATGTAGCTGGAAAGGTCTGACTGCCACCTGAGAACGCCTGGAGTGGTAGCATCCAGCGCGATCACCTCTTTTCGGGTGGTGGCAACAATGACGACTTTTGTTCCAACCAGGTTTTGGCGTGTGATCACATCAGCATCGGGAGTAGATTTCAGAATGGTGTCTGGAAGGTTGCGCAGATACTCCGGGAGGGATGCGAGATCATGGATATGGCGTTTGAGACGATGGAGGTAGGCTGTCCAGGGGTTAACTGAAGACTCGAGATCAAGCTCCTCCGCCAGAGCATCTGGAGCACCATTTTCGTCCCATGCAGCAATGTTCGCATAGGCGAGCATCTCGGGCCTACTCCATTGCAATTCTCCATTGCGGATCAGAGACCAATCTCCACTGTTAGAGAACTCAGCCACTCGAACCGCATAGTTGGCTTTCCCTCTGCTGACAACCTCGGCGGTTGCGTGTGAATGGAAGCTTCCAGGGGAAGTCTTGAAGTTCGTCTTTCTCCACCTCCCTAGTTGTCCGTGAGACTCTGAAGAGTACAGAAGGACTTCGGACTCCGTGGAGCGAATGAAAAAGGCAGATCCCTCGTAGCTGCTCGCAGAGAACACGCTCTGTTCTTCGGTAGCAGGTAATGAATAGACCTTTGTAACGTCCCCCGATTTCGGGTTCACATGAAAGACTTCGGCCCATTGTCGTGTCTTCCCTTTGATATGTAGGAGAAAATGAGTTGCTCTTGATTGGTGACAAGCAGCGTGGATTGTAACATCCTCAATTTCTTCTCCTTTGTCATCCAACGTGAGAGATGAACCTTTCGGATGGCTGAGTAGGCTGAACTTCACCGCCTTGAACGGCTTCTCAGCGGAAATCAGGAAGGGGGACCCAGAGCAAGCGTCCGCCACATATTGACCACCGGGTGCCAGGGGTTCTGTGTCGACGGCAACCCCTGTTTGGCTGACTTCATGCCCTGTCGCGCTGTCCAGGGTGATAACCTTTGCCTTGCTGCTCGTCAACAAACCGTGAGACGTTGTTATATAGTAGACGTGCTGAGCGGAGGTTGCGATTGACGCGGAGGAGCCATGTGCGGTGCTTGAATCTACATGTTGCCATCGTTGTCCGCCGCCATCGCCAGCGATTCGACTGATGGAAGTATGCGTTTGAGAGTCTGTCGAGACAGCGAGGACCACAAAGTCTTGTGGAACTCCGTCCGCGACAGAACCCTGGAGGGGGATGGCTTGTAGTCCACCTATTACAGTCCCCGGCGGCAGTGTATAGTCCCACACGAGTCTCCCGTCAAGAGCATCCCAACATGCCACAGTCCTATCGTATCCGCTGATCAGCTGGCCATCTCTTTCCCCCGCGATCAGATACAAGCTCGACGCATTATCAATAGGTTGTCCTGCGAGCGGCTGGCGCCACAGCGCTGACCCGTCCTTTGGGTTAACAGCGCCGAGAACAGCTTTGTCGGAGAGGGTATAGAGAAGAGAGGCATTGGTGTTCGAATGGGGTTTGTGGAAGAAGGTAGTATGAGGCTGCGGGCTTCCGATCAGGGCATGGTGGAAGTCTATGTGGAAGGCATCGTCGGCAAATATGGCACAAGCCGGCCAGAACAGAGATGGCAATATGGACGCAACTCCATACCACTTCATCCTGCTCGCCAGATCTTGTGTAGGGAAGGGTAATTGTCTGGATTTCACATTGGGGAAGCGTCGAAACGAAATGCGATAGTTTGGCATCTATTGGGAAGACTGCATTATGTAACCCGGCAAACCTACTGTATTCAGAGTATCTCATCCACGACTCGGTCGACGTCCCACGACGCTGTTCAATGATTCTCTTCTCTCAAGCACACCGTCTCTACCATCGGGAGTTACATTACAAATTCGACATGGCTGTAATTCTCGCCGTCTAAAACTAGCCTATCCCACTCTCCACATGTCAAGAACTCAAGACTTGCTCCAACAGCGGTCGATATGTCTCTAGCCCAGGAACTGTCAAGCCAACCACCTTGGCTCCGTCGTCCCACCTCCTCAGGTTTGCTTTTTCGACAGCCCAATCCCCTTGTCTCCATTGTTGCACTTCGTCTTGGCTCATCGGACCTCCTTGGAATCGCAGACTCTCCTTGCTCGCATCGCTGAGTGTGTTATAGTATCCATCTTCTGTGGCACAGAGGTAGCGCTTTGCCGGGACATGAGCCTCGACGAGCTCAGCCACCTTGGCTGGAAACCCCAATGCCAGCAGATACTGAGCGCCCAACGTCTCGTGAGATACTCTGCCGACGCTATCTGAGCTTCGCTGATCTGGGCCGACCGCGTTGATCTGACGCATGCTTTGCACCGGAACTCCGCCCAAGACCTTCTCGGCATCTGTCTCCGGAATAATCTGCCCAATGTCATGGAGCAAAGCCGCAGCGACCGTCTCACGGTCTGCCATACTCTGTGTGGCAAGATGTGCGCACTGTAATGAATGTTCGATCTGTGATATCGGTTCGCCGATGTAATCGCTTTTCCCATACTGGTTGAGTATGTTGATGATCCGGGATGCAACCTGTGCACCCCTGGGCTGAGATCTCCATTCTTCTTCATCGAACTGCCAGCAATATTGTCAGAAAACTGATCGAGACCAAGGGCAACCAACTAGGTCCAGACCTCAAGCTGCTTCCCAGCATCTATACTCAACATTGGACTTCCGTACCCGTAACGCAGGGCTCCTTCTTTATATTCCTCTCCCTGCTTTCGCAGTTGTGCAGGTGGCCATGTGGCTTTTCTGTGCGCATAATACTCGTCATGCAAATCACCTTCTCTGGCACAGTTGTATGTGGCATAGAGTGCTTTCCGATCCTGATTGCTATGGTTGGCGCCACTCCGGTGTGCAAGATATGAGCCAAAAACAAGGACTTGCCCTGCAGCATTGGTCAGAAGTTGGAAACGAGCTCCCGACAGAACCTTTGGCTTAGAGGGACCCTTCAAGAAAGACGGTTATCGGTACGACTCACCTGCTTTGAGCTCCACCGGGGTCCATTCCTGTTGCTTAACCCACCCCAGTTCGATGCAGTGGTCTGGCCCGATAGGTACGTCCATTTCATGACTCCCTTCAACGACCTCCAGGCCACCATTGGACATATTCAATGGATCAACCGCCAGAAGGATGGCAAGGTGTTTTATGTCTTTGATGTGGGTATATGCCGTGGCATCGACATGGGGTGCAAATCCACCTGTACTGCGGTAAGTAGGTCACCATCAACTTGGTGTGAAAAGGTCCATACCGCTGCCTGCGAGCTTGTAGTTGATCTTTTCCTTGAACAGCAACATCTCCTCACCCGACAATTGTTTGAGCAGATCCAACAACTTCTGTCCACGAAGGAGACTGTTCAAGCCCGCATGGGAATCTGCATAGTTTTCAGTCCGGCATAGCACCCTTTCCCCTCGAGCGTTGATTTCCTGTCAGAGCCTCAGTCTTTCGGCGCTTGATCCTCAATGAAGCGTGTACCTCGTACGGCATCCATGGACTGTTCGCATCTGTGGTCCAGTCATGGACTTCCTGCGCCCATCGCTGGAGTTCCCCGGTCTCTACCTCAGAAAGGACGTTACCAAGAACCAGGTAACCATTCCTGCGAAAGGACTGGACCTGCTCTTCAGACAACAACATTTTGCCTGATCCTCTCGCCCAACAAATTTGCGATGTCGAGAGAGTTTTGAGTCAATGTCCAAAACTGCCTCTCTCTATCTCGAACGTGTTGGCACAGAAGCTGAATTGACCAGTTATATCCTTGCCTTGCAGTTTCTCACTCCGTGGCCAATTGAGATGTCTGCCATTGAAATTCTTTCTTTGCGATCGTAACATGCATGTGACAGTGTGATCTTCACTCCACTTGTCAGACGGGCACCATACAGTACTCCCTATATGGGTATCTTGCTGTCAGACGCTGCAACATCGCACTTCGAACCGAATGGCTGCAGAATATGCGACCTTGACGCACCTCCCAATGGCGTTCCCTCGCGTAGGGATCGCCATCCTCACGGTCCTCTAGATCCGAATCATCTTGTTTGACCTTGGCACGTGGGTTAAGCTCAGGTAAGCTTCTCTTGAAGGGCAACTGTTCGAGGAGGAGGCCGAAAGCCCCTCGTCGCCTGCCTTTAGCAGAATGTGGCAGACAAGGATATGCCACGTTCCCACACAACTGGCAGGCAATTCGTATGCAAAGGTTTTCAATACCCTTTTTTTCTTTCTCGCATCATGCATCAGGCCAGAGGCAACGGAGTCACGGCGAGGCGGCGGTCGAGGTCGATAAGGTCGATGAATCAAGTCGAGAAGTATGAGACGGTAGATATGATGTCCTCGCGACCTAATTGAAGATGTATATATGGACGCCCATATCGAGTGTTTCGGCGACCGTCTAAGCACTTCGCCTTCGGCGTCCATACACTTTCCACTTCGCGACAATGGCGACTGAAAAGTCTCAGCCTTCGTACGAAATCACAGGTAGTGAGTCGAAAGGAAGTCAATCCCATGCCCAGGACCTCGAAGTCGGGGATAGAAGACTTAGTCATGTCGATGTCGCCAGGATCACCAAGGTCTCGTCTGTTATCACCGTTCTAGTTGCGGGACTTGCCTTGTTCTCTGATGGATACAATGCACAAATCATAGGGTACGTGCTATGTCGTTGCTAAATTGGAAAAGATACTGACACACTTATCTTGCAGATACATGGAGCCCTTGTTCACAGACCTATACAAGGACGGCATGTCTAGCATCATCAAGACCCGATTGTCCAACGCATACCTCATTGGGGAGATCTTTGGCATGCTCTTCTTTGGCTTTCTTATTGACAAGATAGGCCGTCGTACCGGTATCGTCTTTGCAACTTTCTTCCTCATCCTGGGTATCGTTTTGGCTACGGCTGCTCACGGCACCAGTCAGCTCGGCATGTTCTGGATGATGATCATTGCCCGTGGTGTCGCCGGCTTCGGTGCCGGAGGTGAAAACAACTCAAAAGACCAGATGCTGAACGACGTGCTGACGAGTGAATTCAGGCGAGTACCCAACCTGCGGAACTGGCAGTGCCGAAGCCTCAGATGAAAGTGAATATGTCCGCCGCAGACGAGGTTTCCTGGTCGCCGTGGCCACGGACTTCGCCATTGACTTCGGATTCGTGGTAGCCGGGGTCGTGGCGCTGATTGTCATCGAATGCTACAACGAGAAAATCTCCAGTGGAATCTGGCGCATCTGCTTCGGGTTGGGCTTTGTCCTGCCCGTGACGTTATTCTTCTTCCGAATTCGCATGGTCGAGTCCAGTCAATATCGCAAACATGCTATCAAGCAAAACATACCGTATTGGTTGATCATCAAGCGATATTGGAAGCCCATAGTTGGGACTTCTCTTGCATGGTTCATGTATGACTTGTAGGTTGGATGCCAGTCTTCCGTCTCCGGTCCTTGTTAACGCTTCGGAAGTGTCACCTACCCCTTTGGAATCTTCAGCTCAACCATCATCGGTCAACTCAACCCTAAAAACACCCTAATCCAGAACATCGGATACGGTACGGTCGTAAACTGCTTCTATCTTCCTGGCTGTCTTGTGGGCGGAGTCCTTATGGATAGAATCGGTCGCAAACAAACTATGACTCTCGGTTTTGGCTGCTGGTCAGTCTTGGGATTTATCCTGGGTGGAGCGTTGAACCCTATTCAATCTGTTTTTCCCTTGTTTGTCGTCCTCTATGGGATTTTCAATAGTCTTGGAGAGATGGGACCTGGAGTTTGCACTTTCCTGACAGCCGCAGAAAGCTTTCCTACTCCTTTGCGCGGACACTTCATGGGCTTCGCTGCTGCGGTTGGAAAGGCTGGTGCTGCGATTGGAACTCAAGTCTTCACGCCTATCCAGGACTCCTTCGGCGACACGCAAAAAGGTACTCAAGCAGTCTTCCTGATTGGAGCTGGCTTTGCCGCCGCGGGTGGCATCATCTCATGGATATTCATCCCTGATCGAGATCGAGAGCTTGAGAGCGAGGACGCCAAGTTCAGAGAATATCTTGCAGCTCACGGATATGAGGGAGACTTTGGTGAAAGTTTGATTGTGGAGGTGAAAACGACGGTTTTCAACCGCGATTATACGAAGACGTCTTGAGGATTGTCTGAATGGAAACCTGCGACAGAGTCGACAGTCGCTCCTGGTGGCTTTGGTGTTGGCTATTGAGAATTATTAGTACAAAATACAGCAATGTCAATGAAAAGGTGTACAAAGTAGAGCAAGAGATCAGAACAGGTCCCAAACATTGCTCAGTTACGCAGGCAGCAGTAAAGCGGCGGCGGCATATTGCCGTAATAGGCTGCGGCCAAGTTACAACAAGGCCAGGTAAATATCATTTCGCAAACCCCCCGAGCGCCGACTTCTGCGATCTGAATGCGCGCCCCGGGACCATTCTCTCGTGTGTTGATGGTGTTGTTATCTTTCCCTTCCTTCTAAATCCCTTCGACTCTTCATAATTGTCCGAAGCATGATATTATCTATTCAATATGGACGGAGACGCCGCCGTGGAGCCTGAGGTCGACTCGTTTAGTCTCGTTCTGCCGCTCCCTTATAGAGTCGCAATCATAATTGTTCTCGGTATGGTGACTTGACGGGCGCCCCTTGTACATTATCTGATTCCGCACTAGGTATTTGGGCATGGGGTCTCAATCTGCACTATTTGCATCTCATCAAGATTGTAAGTCCACTGTCCAGAATATGTCTGGCGGGTTCCAGCTAACAAGTGTAGGATGTGCCAGCACTCATCCGGTATCCTCCTCGACAAGCAGAGCACCACCACCACTCGACGTACCGCTTGGCCTCCTTTCTCTCCGTCCCATTGATTGCGTCCCTCCTTCTGTTCTGGGCCGTCACCCGGGGTGACCGGCAGGCAGTTCTGCGATGGCAGATCCTTCCGCAGTCCTACCTTTTACTTCTTGTCGTGTGCTTTCTCCTTCCACTCAAACGCATGTCACGGTCCGGTCGACTACATTTTCTAAGATCCTTAAAGAGAATCAGCTTGGGAGGTCTGGCGGAGGTCCAGGATGGAAAGTTCGGGGATATTCTACTGGCTGATGTTCTTACGAGTTATGCAAAAGTCTTGGGAGATTTATTCGTTGCTACGTGCATGCTCCTCGATACGAAGACAAGCAGTACGGCGAAGCCAAATCGCGGCTGTGGAGGCGCATATCTTGTGCCCTTGATCATCAGCATCCCAAGCATGATTCGACTGCGGCAGTGTCTGATTGAGTATTATCGGGTCCGGAGGAATCAGTCAACCTCCTCGGGCTGGGGTGGCCAACACTTGGCCAATGCCTTGAAATACTTCAGCGCATTTCCAGTGATCATCTTGAGTGCTTTGCAACGAGGTTATGACCCTACCAAATCCCATCTGAGCGAGGCTGGGCTGTTCAGACTATGGTGAGCACCACCAAAGACTTACGTATCACATCTCTCTAACGTTTTGCAGGATGTTTTTCGTTTTTATCAACTCATTCTATTCCTTCTACTGGGATGTGGCCAAGGATTGGGACCTTTCTCTTTTCTCCTCGAGCCGCGAGAGAAACAACCCAGAATATCCCTGGGGTTTGCGACGTTACCGCTACTTCCATGCAAAAGAGGTGTATTATAGTGCCATTATTATAGATTTCCTCCTGCGATGTACCTGGAGTTTCAAGCTTTCGCCACACTTGGATCATTTTAATGACCTGGAGGGTGGGATATTCCTCATGGAGTTGTTGGAAGTATTGAGGAGATGGATATGGATCTTTTTCAGGGTTGAGACGGAGTGGGTAAGGAACAACCGGGGCCCTGCGACGGACGACGTGCTGCTTGGAGATTTCGCTGCGAAGCTCGACGAAGATTGACCGGGCAATGTCGTGGATAGATTGTTGCATCGCAATGATGCCTGACTGTACCAGTACTGAGTGCCTCATAGTTGGCGATAACAAAAGATTGGCGCTGCCACCGCCATCTCCACTTTTTGAATATGCAGGTACACCGAACCCGCGACCCGCACATGCTCCCCCAAATGCCAAATGTTCACCGCATTGACCTCCCACCTTCCCCCTTCTTTCACACATTCCTCATCCCAACAGCAGCCGCTATGACCAGCAAATCCTCTGTGTCCCAAGAGGACATTGAGTTCATTGAGACTCCTCCTGCAGCTCCAGAGCAAACCCCTTCGAACTGCGGTGTCCGCTTGACTTCTGTATGTTGTTCAGCTCAATGGAAGCTCCAAAATGTTCTCCTGGCTTATCTGTGTCTCCCTTAGTACCCTGCAATCAAGAATGCCCCTCTTCCTGCCGATGCTGCGGGAAGTGACTCGTTCAACAACATACTGCTCATTGGCCTGCTAATTGCCGTGCCATGGTACCTTGCTCGCCTGTTGCATGGCGGGCTCTACACCACCCTCTTCGTGGCTGCCTTCACCAGCATTCCCATCCTCATGCTCTTCTGGTCCGTTGCCTCTTCGATCTCTCCTCGCATAAATGAAAAGGCCGCATACCCGGGTCGTCCTATCGAACACTACCTCGAATTCCATAGTGAGGAGGATCGGGCAAAATACCATGGAAAGAACAAAATCCCTATGGAAACATTCCACGAAATGTACTTTGATCAAAAGGTCTCGTTCAAAGGCGATTGCTTGGAAGCAATGGAATATCGTCATGACTGGGCGAGTTTCCGGTTCACGCTTTCGTTGTTCAAGTTCTTTTTCACTGGTATGATTCCCGAAGTTATCATGCACACCCGCTCCCAGGATGAAGAACAAGTCCGTGACCACTACGACCGTGGTGATGACTTCTACGCATGGTTCCTCGGCCCGCGGATGATTTATACGTCAGGGATCATCTCGGACATCAACCGTGAGGAATCTCTGGAGGAATTACAAGACAACAAGCTCGCTGTGGTGTGCGAAAAGATCGGCCTGAAGCAAGGTGAGACGCTTCTTGACATCGGCTGTGGCTGGGGCACCCTGGCGAAATACGCCAGCTTTCACTATGGCGCACACACAACTGGCATCACACTGGGCCGCAACCAGACAAAATGGGGCAACGATGGTTTGCGAAAGCTGAACATCCCAGAGTCCCAGTCTCGGATCCTCTGCATGGACTATCGTGATATTCCCCACTCCCCTCCCAACAGGTCTAGCGAGAAATACAAAAAGATCACTTGTCTCGAAATGGCCGAGCACGTGGGAGTCAGACACTTCTCGAGTTTTCTCAGCCAAGTCAACGATCTACTGGACGACGATGGGGTCTTCTTCCTCCAAATTGCCGGGTTGAGAAAGTACTGGCAATACGAAGATCTCGTTTGGGGACTGTTTATGAACAAGTACATCTTTCCTGGCGCCGACGCATCGACTCCTCTGGGATTCGTGATTGATAAACTCGAAGGAGCCGGTTTTGAAGTCAAATCCGTCGACACTATCGGCGTTCACTACAGCGCAACCCTCTGGAGGTGGTACAGGAACTGGCTCGGCAATGCTGACAAGGTCAAGGCGAAATATGGTGTGAGATGGTACAGAATCTGGGAATTTTTCTTGGCCTGGAGCACCATTATCGCCCGACAAGGTTCAGCGACGTGTTTCCAGATTGTCTTGGTCAAGAACATCAATTCAACACATCGTATCGAGGGTATAAGACAGCAATACGGGCTCCAAGGAGCGCTGCAAGCCGGCAGAGAACACATCAAGGCTGAAAAGGGCACGATCAAGGAGAATGGGGAAGCGGTCAATGGCCATGCATAAGCCTAAGCTGGCCAAGCTGATGGCCAAGCGCATGGTGTCGAATGCTGGAGTGAGTTGATGTCGACTTCCGACACTGAAGATTCTTGCTTTGACCAAAGAAGTGGGTCTTTTGAAGCTGCAAGACAACGAGGAGACAGAGAGGCCTCTGGAGCGGGCACAGATTTGAAATGAATTCTCCTCTGGATGAACTCCCTGAATCTATCGGTGCAGGCTGGAGACACGGAGGCAAGTGTTGAATGGATCATGCGGCACGATCGGTAGAGTTGAGACGTACAAGGTCCAAATCGACCTCCTCAGGTCGAGATAGATTTGCGCCTACGAGGCCGATGAGAGTTAATATGATTGCACATAGCTGCGCGTAAGCTATATCATCGACGTTGGCTCTACCCTGATCATGCCATCTACAACCCATCGCCTGTTCCGTGTCACATCCTCCTTCAAGCCCGAGACACCAGCCTCATGAATAGAACAAAGAGAGCCCGGGTCCATGTCGAGCTACTCGGTGCTTCCACCAACCTGGAGGACGTAGGTACATTCGGAGTAATATAGTCATTGGCGTCGATGGCATCGATTGGGGGGGGGTGCCCCTTGATGGTTCACGGCTCTCAGTATCAAGAATGCAATGACGCAAGGAGAATGCAGGAAGAACACAAAATCGATAACGGTATGTCTGTCATCGTCCTTGTGCACTCACTGCCACTGCCCTATTGGCAGGCATGGCGTTTACCAGTGTCAGTGATCTATCTCACAGTGAGAGGGGTCTAGCTAGCCCGGGTGCCTGGATGTCCTCCGCATCTCTGCTGTCACCTCTGAAAGGAGTGTCGTTGGTAGAGTATGGTATGGTATTACATGAATGATGGATATGGGTGGCGGTTGAGAGGTCAGGGTATAGAACGACGGGCAATGTGAATATGTATATATATCGACGCCGGCGCTGTCTCCCACGGTATCATCATCCATCTCCTTTTCCCTTCTCTTGAAGCTGGGTTGTAGAACCTCTCCGTCTGCCCTCACAGCTTCCATCGTTTGGCCAAAAAGCTGGATGCATCGCCTCCTCGAAGTGTCCGCGTGATCGGTCCGTCCTGGTGAAAGTATCGAGGCACGAGATCTGAGGATGAGAGAAGCTTGGGTAGTGTTCTTCCATTACAACAGCCTGGACACGAAGTGGTCAGTACATAGATGGAGGGGTTAGCGCTAGCACGGTCAAAGGGTATACTCACGATCGTCTCGCTGCGTGGAGTTGAGAACTGAGTGGAAGACGGTGGATGCTGGCTCTTGAATAGAGCACATTGGGCTGCATCTCAAAAGTGGACTTTTTGTCTCGAGCAATGCCTTTTTTCAGCACAACATGGTGAAGTAGATACAAAAG